AATTAATTAAAATTTTCACAATTTACAAATAAAAAAAGAAATATCTAATTTAGATAATTAGATTTAAGAGAAAAAACCTGGTTGTTCGAGTAATTGGTGGGTCCTCGTCGCCGTCGTCGGTTCGAACTTCCAAGCGGCAGTCGGCGGAGCTTTGGAGTCTGCCGTCTGCGAAGGGATGGTCAGCCTCAAGTTCCGAATTCGGATTTTGCAATTAGGTCTGGACTGGTGCAGAAGTGCAGAACAGGAGGTGTCGAACTGCTTTAAGCAAAAATCGGGAAAAAAAAAACAAACGACGCCGTTTTGATGTCATTCTTCTTAAAAGAAAAATGTATAGTCAGCCACCTACACCTGGATTCGAACACAAGTCCGCGGCATCCGCCCACACGAATCAAATACCACAGAGATTTCCACTCCTTCAGTGCTGGGAGTTGAATACTTTTGGCGTTTCGTAGGATATATACTAAATCGAGGTATATATTAAAAAAATTATATATATATACTAAAAAAATTTAAAATTTCCGTGGGGTCGCTTGACCCCGTATGATCCTATGTGGGTCCGCCCCTGAGGGCGGCTCAAGCACATCACTGTCACACCTCTCAAATCCGATGACCCCAAATTTATCAAATGGAGACAAGCAGATTCAACGGTTATAACATGGATTCTAGAAAACATAGAATCGGATATTGTCAATCAATATATCGATTATCCAACTGCTTGGGATCTATGGAAGGGAATTGAAGCCACCTACGGCTCCGGGAAAGATCCCTTGCAGGTATACAACTTGATGGTGAAAGCTAGCAGCATCAAACAAGGAGACCAGACACTAGAGAAGGTTTATAGCCAATTGCAAGCTGTGTGGAAGGAAATCGACAGGAGGCGACCCAACCCGATGAAATGCCCAGAGGATATGACGATTTTCACACAAATTCAACAACAAAATCGTCTATATCAATTTCTACAAGCCATAAACAAAGAGTTCGATGTAGAAAAACGTGATAGTCTCAAAACACATCCTCTCCCCTCCGTAGAAGAGGCATACGCCCAAATCAGGAGGGAGGCTACCAGGAAAGGAATAATGAAGGGAGACGATGGGCCTTCATCGGGAGATGTTCCCTCAGGTCTTGGCAGTGGGTTCGCAACCACACGGGCTGGATTGCGATCAGAAAAATCCCTGGTATCGTTATCTCGCATGAATGAGGACAAATCAAAATTGAAATGTACCTACTGTGGCGGAACCAAGCACAACGCAGAAGGGTGCTTCAAGAGAATCGGGTACCCAGATTGGTGGCCTGACAGCCGAAAGAGAGGGAAGAAGCTGCCTGGGGTCGCTGGGGCAGTGGTGGGTAATCAAGAGACCACTAGCACCACCGCCGTCCAAGCATCTGAAAACTTCGCCGGAATCACCAGGAGTAGCGTCGAAGAAGAGAGCAGCGGCGTAAGAAGGAGAGGCGAAGAAGTGACGGGTAGGGGCGAAGTGACGGGTAGGGGTTGGGGAGAGGGATTAAATACTCTTTCCAAATCAGGCCCAACAAATAGAATTTGGCCCAAACCCAACCAAATTAAAAATAACCGGTGGATTTTTTACTATGGGGCTACTGACACGATGTCCTTCGACCATTCCGATTTTAATTCTCTAAATTGGTCCAAGAAAACCCATATCCAAACGGCCAATGGGGATTATTCTCATGTCGAAGGCACTGGTCCAATATCTATCTCAAATTCTATCTGGCTGGAGAATTGCCTATATGTTCCCACATTGTCTCACAAATTGCTGTCAATAAGCCATGTCACAAAACAATTAAACTGCATGGTCCTAATGCACCCCACTTTTTGCTTATTACAGGATATTCGGACGGGGAAGATCATTGGGCGTGGTTCTGAGCGTAATGGTCTGTACTATGTTGAGGAATTTGATCATTACGGAACAGCTACGCTTGCTCATGGGACAGTGGACAGTAGGGTTGTAAATGAACCGAATCGAATCGAATATTCACGAAAAATATTTGTATTCGCTAATTTAAGATGATATTCGTATTCATATTCGTATTCGCTTCAAATATTTTTAATGATTCGTATTCGATTCGTTTAACAAACATTAGGTATTTGATTCGTTTATAAATTCGATTCGTTTAAGAAATTCGGTTCGTTTATAAATTCGGTTCGTTTTAAAACATCAATTTTTTTAAATTTTAAAATATTTTATAAAAATTTAATTTATTCATTAAAAATTAATGGTGCACCTTCTTCCATATCCTACAAACACAAGAAAAGCAAAAAAAGGAGAGAAATTTCACCATTCAAAAACAAAAAAAACAAAAAAAATTGCCGAAAAGCAATTACACAAACACAATGTAATTACACAAAAACACAAGAAAAGCAAACAATTAATTTCCGAAAAGCAAACAAGGAGAGAAATTTCACCAACACAAGAAAAGCAAAATAAAATTACCTTGTAGCTTGTAATTGCTGATATTGTCGAAGTGCCGGGGTGGTGACTGGTGAGTGGTTGGAGAGTTGCAACTTGCAAATTGTGCAAGAGGCGTGGTGAGTGGTGACTACTTTGAGAGGGAGACGGAAATGGATAGAGAGAAGATCGATGTTTCAATCGATGAAAATCATCGGAAGATTCAGCGGCACACAAGTGAGCAAGTGAGGCAGCGGTTAGGTGACTTAGGTCTAAAGGAGAGAAATATTACTTGATTTCAATTTGGGCGGGTCAACTTGGACTATGGACTTCTTGGGCTTTATTTTTTTCTATGTATATATATGTACCGAATATATTCGTCAAACTCACGAATCGAATATACTTAAATTCGAATTCGTATTCGTTAAGGGTTCGAATATTTATTCAAATTCATATTCGTATTCGGATTCGGAAAAAACGAATACGAATCACTTTACTCGAATACGATTCACGAATCGAACAAAAAATATTTGATTCATTTACAACCCTAGTGGACAGGCAGTCATGGTTGTGGCATCGTCGTTTGAGACATCCATCTTGGGGGTATCTCAAAATTCTCTTTCCAAAATTATTCAATAAATCATGTCAGTTTCATTGCAACAGTTGTATTCTAGCCAAAAGTCATAAACATTCCTATCCGTTAAATAACACTATTGCATCACAATCTTTCTCATTAATCCATTCTGATGTGTGGGGTCCATCTCCAGAACCGAGTCCAAATGGGTATCAATATTTTTTATTGTTTGTTGATGACTATACCTGTATGACTTGGGTGTACTTTCTTAAACACAAATCTGAAGTTTTTGAAAAGTTCACCTCATTTTACAAATTGATCAACACACAATACCAAAAACAGATCTGTATTCTTCGATCTGATAATGGAGGAGAATACATAAATCATCCCATGGAAAATTTCTGTAAGGAAAAAGGTCTTATCCATCAAACCACTTGTCCTGATACCCCTCAACAAAACAGCGTTGCTGAACGTAAGNTTTGTTGATGACTATACCTGTATGACTTGGGTGTACTTTCTTAAACACAAATCTGAAGTTTTTGAAAAGTTCACCTCATTTTACAAATTGATCAACACACAATACCAAAAACAGATCTGTATTCTTCGATCTGATAATGGAGGAGAATACATAAATCATCCCATGGAAAATTTCTGTAAGGAAAAAGGTCTTATCCATCAAACCACTTGTCCTGATACCCCTCAACAAAACAGCGTTGCTGAACGTAAGAATCGGATCATACTCGAAATCACTAGGGCTCTTATGATTGAGTCAAATGTTCCGATTTATTATTGGCCCGAAGCAATTACAACCACCATTTACCTCATAAATCGCCTTCCGACAAAAATCCTAAATCACAAAACACCCATTGATACAATCGCAAGATTTTCCACTGTTCCTACCTTCTTGACTCTCACTCCTCGTGTGTTTGGTGGCACTGTATATGTACATATTCCAAAAGCCAAACTAACAAAATTTGATCCTTGTGCTGTCCGATGTGTCTTTGTTGGGTATGGGGTTCATAAAAAGGGATACAGATGTTATGATCTTATTTCTCGTCGGATGTACACGACAATGGATTGTAATTTTTTGGAAACTGAGTACTATTTCCAAAACCACTCTAGTAGTCAGGGGGAGAAAATTACGAATGACTCTCTAGAGTGGTTACACAGCCCAGTCTTGCCACCTGAAACTGTCCCAACCGAGGAAGTAAGTCACTCCGTGAGATCATCTTTTGAGAACATTGAACAGTCCAACAACTCAGAACTCATGTCTGATTCTACTCCGTCTGAAAAGACTCCTGAGGTTAGTATTTCCCCCACTCCTGATGATTGCATTGATAAATCTAATGATACCGTGGAAGAATTGAATATATCAAACAGATATGTTCTCCCACCACGGAAGAATCGGGGAATCCCTCCTGTCAGATATGAACCAGAATACATACCTCGAAACTCAAGATATCATGTTGCTGATCTAGTCAGGGGGAGTGTATCACAGGCACTTCACACATCCAGCCATGAAGTCCCTAGAACAGTAGACGAAGCCATACGAATACCAGAATGGAGAAAAGCAATGGAGGAGGAGATGAAGGCACTAGAGAAAAACAACACATGGGAGAAATGTCAACTTTGCCCAGGAAAGAAACCAGTTGGATGCCGATGGGTATTTACAGTCAAACACAAAGCAGATGGTACAATCGAGAGATATAAGGCCAGATTGGTAGCTAAAGGATATACTCAAACTTATGGTATTGACTACTCTAAGACTTTCTCACCAGTAGCCAAAATTGATACTATCCGAGTATTATTCTCCATAGCAGCTAATCTAGATTGGCCCTTATATCAGTTTGATGTGAAAAATGCTTTTCTCCATGGAGAGCTAAAAGATGAGGTTTACATGGAAGCACCACCTGGGTTCTCGTCGGATTTTAGAGAAGGCAAAGGTTGTAGATTGCAAAAAGCTTTATATGGTCTCAAGCAATCTCCACGCGCATGGTTTGGCAGATTTACGATAGCCATGAAGAAATATGGATATCGTCAAAGCAACTCTGATCATACCTTGTTTCTAAAAAGACGAGGCAAGCTCATAACATGTTTGATCATCTATGTGGATGACATGATAATTACTGGCAGTGACATAGAAGAGATGGTTATACTGAAAGGCAAGCTATTCCAGGAATTTGACATGAAAGATCTTGGAGAACTTAATTTTTTCCTTGGCATTGAAGTTCTCAAATCTCAAGAGGAGATCTTTATTTGTCAAAAGAAGTATATCCTTGATCTTTTAGTTGAAACTGGATTAATGGATTGCAAACCGGCTGTCACTCCGATGATGGTTAACCACGGACTTCAAATTAGTGAGGGAGGAATACAAGCTGATCAAGATAAGTACCGAAGACTTGTAGGCAGACTTATATACCTCGCACTCACAAGACCTGATATTGCATATGCTGTCGGAGTGGTAAGTCAATTCATGCACAAACCACAGAAGGAACACCGGGATGCGGCTATCCGAATTGTGAGATATCTTAAGGGGACCATTAATCTGGGAGTTACATTTAAAAAACATGGTCACTTAGATATTCAAGCCTACACAGATGCTGACTGGGCAGGAAATCCAAACGATCGAAGATCCACTTCAGGGTATTTCACCTTTGTTGGAGGTAATCTGGTCACATGGAAAAGCAAGAAACAAAAGGTAGTTGCTCTATCAAGTGCAGAAGCAGAATTCAGAGGTATCGCTCGAGGAATTACCGAAGTCCTTTGGTTAAGAAAACTCCTTAAAGATTTGGGGTACCCGCCGAAGGGAAAGTGTAGACTGATGTGCGATAATACCGCTGCTATCCGTATATCAGAGAATCCAATACAACATGATCGTACCAAGCATATCGAGATTGATCGTCACTTTATCAAAGAAAAACGCGAGGCAGATATCATCAGTCTTCCGTATGTCCGATCTGAAGATCAGTTGGCAGGCATTTTAACAAAAGCAGTACCGGCTGGAGTCTTTCAAGCATTATTAAGCAAGTTAAATATCTGGAACGGATGATTCAACTTGAGGGGGAGTGTTAGAAATGTCAAACAAAGGAACAGTGTCAAACAAAGGAATTGATTGTAATATCTTGATAATATCCTTGATTGGAATCAAATTACCAATCAAGATATTTGATAAGGGGGGGTGAATAGAGGTGTTGCCCAAAAGACTAGTTTTTTACACAGAAACCTTCTTCACGAATATTCAATAAAAACAATGCACCACAAACAAAATATAGTGAAGGATAAGATCAATGCACACACGATATATACAGGTTCAGCCTAAACGCCTACATCCAGTCCCCGAAGCAATCGTGCCCAGGCCTTCACTAACCCGTCAAACTTAACAGAGTTTGACAATCCGAATACAACTCGAGAACTTGATTTCACAAGCCTCTTATCTTACCACCGAAGTTTTGATTTCACAAAACTCAGGATTTCTTCCACCTAACGTTTGATTTCACAAACCGTTATGTTGGGAAAAATATTATAGATTTTGATGATGATGTATTTAGAATGTAATAGGGACTTTAGGTCTCCCCCAATATTCAATGTAATTTTTCTTTTTAGAAATATTGTCAAAACCGAGTTCTTGAGATTTCCAATAAAGTTGTGATATTTCTTTAAGCGTTTTGATGCCTGAAGACTTAATCAAATTCAGTGATATGAAAATTGGATATCTTGATCGGAAATGTCAGAGACAAGTAAGGATTTCTCAATCAGATGAAAATCCTCAGATCCGGAAGACTATATAAGAACCGGATGTCTCGCTACAACCCGCTAAAGGCTAAGTCATCCAAATCGGAAGACTAGCGCGGATCTCTTTCTCACCCGGAAGTCTGAGAATGACTCCTCCGGATTTGTCAGCTAAGAATCGGAAGACTCATTGAAGACCGGAATTCTCAGAAAGAGGACAAGTGAGAAAAGACTTGGAAAAATTATCTAAGTCTTGAATGAAGAAATTCTACTCGTTGGTAAGGAAAAATCAATCCCTTGATTTTCAATGGCTAGATTAAAGATAATTATGCTGATTCAAGAACAAATTACTCGAAGACAAAGTCTGGACCTCTAAAATTAAAGAGCCTGCCCAGAATTCCTAAACAAGCACTAGAGGACAAACAGAGTAAAGTGCTACAGTCTTGAATTCTTGAACAACAGCTAGAAGACGGATTCTGTGGAAAAAGGAATCCTTTCTCAACAATTGGGTACGTCCAAACACCCACTTCAACAAAGAATCTTCAAATCACAATCTTCATTCAAAATTGAAGCCAGCAAATGCAACGGATAGTCTATTATGATTCAACGGATAGATTATCCAATCCAGCTATAAATAGCA